ACACCCACTCCATACACAGAGCCAGACAGTATAATAACCGATACACCCACTCCATACACAGAGCCAGACAGTATAATAACCGATACACCCACTGCATACACAGAGCCATACAGTATAATAACCGATACACCCACTCCATACACAGAGCCATACAGTATAATAACCGATACACCCACTCCATACACAGAGCCATAGAGTATAATAACCGATATACCCACTCCATACACAGAGCCATACAGTATAATAACCGATACACCCACTGCATACACAGAGCCATACAGTATAATAACCGATATACCCACTCCATACACAGAGCCATACAGTATAATAACAAATCTAATAATTGCTGTTTTGATTTATTTTAAGTTTTTGTAACTTTTTTCCCCTTTTCATATATAGTTTTTTTTTTTTTGTTTTTTTTCTTTGTTGGATATATTTAAACTTTGTCCCCCTTTTTTTTCCTTCTATATATTTTCTCCTTGCTGTTTTTATTTAAAACGTTTCCCTCCTTTTTATTTTTTCCTCTTGCTGTTTCTATTCCCCTCCTTGTGGGTGCTGCTGCTGCTGAGCTAATTATGGGGAGTGCCCCTTAACTTCCACCTGTGTGGAATTTGTATTGCCAATATAAACCCACTACTGACTCACTGGAGTTTGCTTGAAAGTAGTCTCTTTTAAGTAGGAGTTGAAACTACAAGGGAGTTTAAACCAAGAGGGTAAATATTGTTTTTTCTCACTTGTGTTTTTGGTAACTGGGGATGGGTGCTAGCAAGATTGTGAGTTTAACTCAGTTCACATCATGCCGCATGTATGCATGCCTGGATAAATCTGTCCAGGGTCCATACCTCTGGAAGCTCAGATTGGAGATCTGGAGAGCCAAATTGTAACACTGAGGGAGATTGACAATCTTGAGAGGAGTCTGCTGCTCACTGAGCAGAGTTTAGTGGGGACAGGTAGTGGAGAGGGAGGAGATAAGACAGATGGGGAACAGGCACATAGCTGGGTGACAGTGGTGCGAGGAAGCAGGGGGGGGAGGGAAGAGAAAAGGTTTAGCTAGTCCTGATCTCATGCAGCCTAACAGATTTGCCTGTTTGAGTGAAGATGTTGGGCGCATCAGCTCAGGAGTAGCTGTACTGCAGGAAGCTGTTCCTGCTAACAGCCGTGGACCAGCCCTTCTAGTACGGGTGGGGTTGAGAGGGTAAGGAAGTCTAGACAGGTTGTGGTGGTAGAGGACTCTATTATTAAGAGAGTAGATAGGGTAATCTGCCACTCTGATCGACTCAACCGGTCAGTTTGCTGTCTCCCAGGTGCTCGGGTCTGGCATGTTGCTGACAGAGTGGAGGGATTATTGGAAGGGGCTGGAGATAACCCAGCTGTCATGGTCCATATTGGTACCAATGACAAAGTCAGAGGAAAATGGAAGGTCCTAAAGAATGAGTTCGGGGAACTAGGAAGTAAGCTAAAGAAAAGGACCTCCAAGGTAATTTTTTCAGAAATATTATTACCTGTGCAGCGCGCTACAGCAGAAAGGCAGCGGGAGATTAGAGAGGTCAATGCGTGGCTGAAGTCTTGGTGCAGATAAGAGGGTTTTGGGTTTTTAGGGTACTGGGCCGATTTTGCGCTTGGGTACAACCTGTATAGT